AAACCAGGGATATGCAACTATAATATCATTGCCACCTGTTTTAAAATCCACATGGTTCAGGGTTAAGATTCCAAAATACATTTGAAGAACAGGGACAAATTTGTACTGCAATGAATTGGAACAGACATGAAGCACTTCTGAGAGATACACCTTGAGTTGAACAAGTGCAACTCAAAATGCTTTGCTCAACAAAATTATCACTTTGTCATCAAGATTTACATTAGCTCAGTAGTCAAGTTTGTCTACTTCAGTTCAAATGTGTTTAATGAGTAAAATCTTCTTGTGGTTGTACTACGGAGGGGGGGACCTTTTAAAAAAGCTACTACTAGCTTTAGGAACCTACATTAAAGATGAGGAGGAAGGGCCTTATTAATTTTAAAGAGTGCTGCAATTTTTTTCAGTGAAAAATACCAAGTGGTGTTGTTTTCCAGGCACAGTCTTGAGCTAACTGAGCTGCCTTTGAGGGCCAAACTATTACACTACAGGGGACTGAATGTTTCAAAGGTGTACTAGTAGAGTGGGATGGTTATGGAAGTTTTTAGCAGCACTACACACTAATGGAAACAAAAGAAAACTGCTGCCCCAACATGGTAAACAGTCCAAAACTTGGAGCAAATTTTGCATACCCCTTCAATAATGAAAAAAATAGTCACCCAAATAAGGAGGAGGAAGAAGGGAGATTTGGGGTAGCTATACATTAAAGGGCAAGGAAATTGTCCCGACAGAAGAGACTAGTACAGTGGTACCTCGGGTTAAGTACTTAATTCGTTCCGGAGGTCCATTCTTAACCTGAAGCTGTTCTTAACCTGAAGCACCACTTTAGCTAATGGGGCCTCCTGCTGCTGCCACGCCACTGGAGCATGATTTCTTTTCTTATCCTGAAGCAAATTTCTTAACTTGAAACACTTTTTCTGGGTTAGTGGAGTCTGTAACCTGAAGCGTATGTAACCTGAAGCATATGTAACCCGAAATACCACTGTACATAGAAAAGGAACGCAAATTAGAACATCAGCTTCACTGAGCGCTTCTTCATTGGAATGCCAGATGCAGTCACATGGCCATATGTGATCACATAGTTCTAAAGGTGGGAACAGACTAACAGTGCTATGGTACTATGAAGAGCCAAAGGAAACAGTGGACAGACTAAGAAAAATAATGTACTGCAAACACTATGAAGCCATTCAGGACTATTTCAATCACTCGGCTTTCAGATATGTGAGTGCATGAAGAAGCGACTGCCACAGCAGGGGGAAGGAGTGGCCATCACACAGTCCCCTTTGATATATCAGGCAAAGTGCTGTGCAAACAAGACAGTGCGAATGTAAAAAAAGGAAGAAGTATGTACTATGCACGGATAGCTGAAATGAACACACCACTGAAATAATATTCCATACATCATTCTCAGCTAAATGTGGAGGGTGTAGCTCTAACCTAATCACAACCAGTAGGCCAGGAAGAGTGGCATGGATAGTCAGTTGCAATTTCCCACTACTGCTTCAAAGCTCAAGCCTAAACTATGCCTGATGGACTGTAAGCTATTTCCACTGCAAGGGGAGGCAGGTGTGGAGTAGTTTCCCCAAATGAATCACCTAAAACTTTATGGCCATACGATCCGTTCATAACCCTGGAAACTACCCCCAGTCTCAACCAAGGTGGGCTTCACAGACACCTTCCTATTCATGCTATCGTGGGGTTTTCCCATCCAGACTGGCCCTTCAGCTGAAGCTGATAGAAGCCAGACCACAAACACCACCTGGAAGAAACAATACCAGCCTAATAGCCAAAAAGAATTTTTTAAAACCCTTCCCATCTTTTATGCAGAGTGATTAGTCACAGTCTTTGTTGCCTAAGTGGCTATATGGGGTCAGTTATATCAACTGGCATCCAAGTCTTGCAAGACCGTGGCTAATTGCACCCTAGAGCTTTGCTATATGCCATGGCGGAGCTAGCTGCTCCGGCACCCGGAGTGGTACACATGCTGGGCGGGGCTAGCTGCCCATGGGAGTGCACCAGTGGTGGCTAGCCTCCTGGGGCAGCACCGCCCACAGTGATGTCACCCCTCCTCAGGGATGATACCCAGGGTGGACCGCCCCCACTGCATCCTCCTTGCTCTGCCTCTGGCTACATGGGGCCAAAGCAAAGCCATTATTTCCCTAGGCCCCATCTTTCCCTCCATGCAGGCTCTGCTAATAGAGGAATGGGCCCTCTTTCCTCAAAACCATCAGAGAGATTTTGTAGTTGATCCAATGTCCCAAATGATCCCTTAGAACTCTTAGCCTTAAACAGGTTTTGCAGTTTCAGTGATACCTCGGGTTAAGAACTTACCGTATTTTTCGCTCTATAAGACGCACCAGACCACAAGACGCATGTAGTGTTTGGAGGAGGAAAACAAGAAAAAAAATATTCTAAATCTCAGAAGCCAGAACAGCAAGAGGGATCGCTGCGCAGCGCTCCCTCTCGCTGTTCTGGCTTCTGGGATAGCTGCGCAGCCTGCATTCGCTCCATAAGACGCACACATATTTCCCCTTACTTTTTAGGAGGGAAAAAGTGAGTCTTAAAGAGCAAAAAATACGGTAATTCGTTCTGGAGGTCCGTTCTTAACCTGAGGTACTACTTTAGCTAATGGGGCCTCCCGTTGCTGCCGCACTGCTGCCACGCAATTTCTGTTCTCATCCTGAAGCAAACTTCTTAACTCGAGGTAGTATTTCAGACACCTGAAGTGTCTGTAACCTGAAGCATCTGTAACCCGAGGTACCACTGTATTAGGGATGATGCCCTGTTGACAAACAACAATTCAGAGAGGCTAAAAATACAGCAGCATTTAAATTTTGGGGTTGTATCCAACGGTGGTGTTCTGCTATGGAGGAGTGGTTCCACTTGTGAAATGCATGGCACCTGATTTTCCATGATCCCTTCCATCCAATGCAGACCAACCTTCCTTCCCAATATACAGTTTTCCTAAAGGAGGGGGAGGGCCCTCTGGAACAGTTTGGGGTGTGGCAGAGGGCTGCCAATGGTGTGTGGAATTAGTGAAAAAGAGATGCCTCACCTTACACTAGCAGAAGCCCAATGCTTCCATGAGATACAACCAATTCTATGGTGCATTCTAGACATATTACTCTACAGAAGAGTCTTTCTATAATCTTCATCTTGTTCAGGCCATGCAATATAACTGTTGAGGACAATTTCACAGCCTGGAGTTTGTATTAAAATGACTGGACCTAATGGTCACAGGTCCCTTTACCTTTACCTTTTATATTTAGGACAGCCATCAGAGGCGCTACGGAGTTTGCTAACCCTAATCCATAGGGAACAGGATAGTCTCTTTACCAGCAGATCTTTAGTTGAGGCCTAGAATCTAGAAAACCAAACTTCCTCTGGGAACTTGGCGGCAAGTATGGTGAACTGCAACTACAATGGACTCACAGACATCATGCATGGCTGTCATATGGCTTGCCACATTTTTCTTAAGTTTGACATCCTGCTTTCATGGCCATGCTTCATTTTGTTGACCAGATCTGTCAACACCTTTCTCAGTGTTAACATCCTCAACCACAATTTGAATATACAATGCTCCAGAGTATACATTTCCATCCCTACAAGTCACAAGTTCAAACCCAGAAAAATAGTGACCTGTTTACTGCCATCTCATTGTGCTTTGGTGTCTCATTTCACAACAGCTGAGATGTGGGAAATGGCTCTCTAGACAAATGAACTCTGATTCTTCCCTGTGACAACTGACAAGTAGATATGAAAACAGGATATCAAACATAAGCAAAGTGTGACCAGTAATATGACAAGCATGTGTGATGCTGAGTTTCATTCCAATTATAATTCCTGGAAGACTGATGTCAACACAAACCATTATTAGATGCCAGGACACTAACGCACGAACAATTCTTTAATCCCTAAATTTCACTCACCATGTTACACACCCATTCATTCCATAAGAGTCCTATCCAAATGGCATTCCTAAAATAAAATATTTGTTTTACGCTTTGATCATAGCAACAAAGGAGGGAAAATGGCCATTTAAAAACCTCAACCTAACGTCATCTGCAAAGTCATACAACAGTGCTTTCAGACTCTTAAATAGTATCAGTGCAACATTTAACAAAAAAGATACAGCTAGACTTTGATTGGAAACTCAGAATGTTACTGAAAACTATGTGCTTTCCAGGGTCCACAACTATAGTACAGATACCCCACCCAAACGCTATTGATTTCATTTTCAAAATCTCCCCACCAACACCAGGAATAAAAGGGGGGGGGGGTGTGTCCAATGAAGAATACTCCAAGTAAACCCAGTGAAAATGAATCAACTTCAGTAACTTAAGACAAGTTATTTCAACAGATCTACTCTTACTATGAATTAGCACTGGGTATAACTCTGAATGACTGGTTCCACACTAACTTGGTTCCTCACCACCTTCTCTTCACTTCAAATGATGCTCAATTTTGAGCAATATACATCCAACCTGCACCCAAACTGGTGTGTGTGTGTGTGTGTGTGTGTGTGCGTGCGCGCGCACGCGCGCATGCTACAACAGGTTTGTAACAAGAGAAAGATGTGTGGATGAAAGTGGTATCTCCGTTTTGTGGGTGTCACTTCCTTACCAACTGTTTTATACTTTGCACTTTTAAATTCTCTGTTCATATTTGATATATGTGTGTGTTTTTTTAAAACCTTCACCCTGACCATCTGTGGCTGTTTAATAACTTGCAACTTTTATATAGTTATGAGAGAGGAGTTGCTAGATCATCAGTGCCTCTTTCAAACAGGCATGTGCTGGTATCTTGTGCTAGTACACAGCATCCATATCACATATTGGAAGGGTGGGTTGCTACAAATGCACACATCCCTCACACTGCTCACCCCCTGTAAAATCCCCTGAACACTTATTTGTAGAGGAAGTCAAAAGGCCATAGAATCATGGAATTGTAACACTGAAAGGGACCACAAGGGTCATCTAGTCCGACTCCTTGCAATGCAGGCATCTTTTTGCCCACTGTGGGACTCAAACCCACAACCCTGAGACTAAGAGTTTCATTCTCTACTGACTGAGCTATCTTGTACTATTTTATACACTCCCCCTATCTATCACAAGGTCAAGACCATCCACCAATATTGTGCAACCAAACTGGCTTATAGTCTGAAACCGACGAGGGTGGCACTGTGGTCTAAAGCACTGAGCCTCTTGGGCTTGCCAATCATAAGCTATACGGTTCGAATACGCATGATGGGGTGAGCTCCCGTTGCTCTGTCCCGGCTCCTGCCAAACTAGCAGTTCGAAAGCATGTCAAAGTGCAAGTAGATAAATAGGTACCACTGCAGCGGGAAGGTAAACACCATTTCTGTGTGCTCTGGTTTCCATCACAGGGTTCCGTTGTGCCAGAAGTGGTTTAGCCATGCTGGCCCCATGACTCAGAAAGCTGTCTGTGGACAAATGCCGGCTCCCTCAGCCTGAAAGCGAGATGAGCGCAGCAACCCCATAGTCACCTTTGACTGGATGTAACCGTTCAGGGGTCATTTACCTTTTTTACCTAACTCTGAAACCACTCAGAAGCTAGATGTACCTGGGCCTGTTTCAACTTATAGTATAGCACACTAGACAATCAAACTCCTGCTTATTTGCTCTTGCAAATAGACCATACTGTACCCAATGAGGGACTAAATAGAGAAAAAGAATACATTTTACATAGTAAGAGGAAGTCAACACATCAGCCTGGAGAGGGGCTCAGCAGATAACATAAGGTGGGAAAAGGTGAATGAATGCTTACGTCAATTTTTCACTTAAAGACATGTAACCTCAGAATTTTTCACTTAAAGACATGTATTTACAGAAAGAAAATATGCACAGAAGCACTATATGATCATATTACCTCTTGCTTACTAATACAAGCGTCAGCCAGACAGGTTCTAATGTTACCAAATGTGCATTTACAGAAACACATATACCTCTATGAGCATATCAACTTATGCCCCAATTCACTGGGACTGGATCAAAGTGCTGTCTAAGTGTGCACTAAGTATTTTAATGACAATTTTGAATCCACTGATACAAAAGGGGTAATTTGCCAAATAGGAATAGATAACAAATATACACCCTGAATCCCCGAAAAAGGGGCAAATTAAGTGCTACCAACACTTGCCTGAAGATGCTGGTATGGAAAAATTGGATGGAAGCAGGTGTATTGACATTGGACCAACTGATAGATGGGGAAGATGAATATTATACTTTTGCTGTTTTAAGACAACAATATCATCAGATGCAGCCCAATGGCAATATCTTCAGTTACAACATTTCATAACAAGTGTGTTTGGGTCTTTCAGCTTCCAAGATACCAGAGATATTGGAGCAACTGGACCACTCATTCAACAATAAAAAGCCAACAATTACTTTTTATAGATATGTATTACCAATACACAAGTTCATTATGCAGACTGTAAGAGATAATTGGAATAAAGAATTGGGACTATCAACTTCCCAGACATGTATTAACTTCAATACCTAAGGTGTCATTAGATTTAAAATTAAGACTAATACAACAGAAAATAATATTTAGAGTTTATTGGACTCCCTTACGGTTGTATAAAAAAGGGTTAGCTAAGACAGCTCAATGTTGGAGATGTGGCAAAGACAATGCCTCTCTGAAACATGTTTAGACAGTTTTCTTTACATAACAAGCTTTAGGAGAAAGTGATGGACCGTGTAACTATGACTGTGCAGAAAAAGTTAAATCTTTCAGCAGAGAATATTTTATTGAACTATATACCTGCAGCATGAAAATTATTAATGCGGCAATGGAAATGGATTTCCCGTGCCCTAATGGTGGCAATAGATTGATACTGAGGAATTGGAAAAATAAAGATATGGTACCCTCCAATCAATGAACTGACAATATGAGATCACTCGCAGTTTATGAATGGACTGCTTATAGGTGTAGTCTGTATGGATAAATATAAAATTTGGAATGAATTTATACAAAATGTAGTGCGCTATTAACATTTACATAAGCACTAGGACAATAACACTATCCCAATTTATTATTTTTTTAAAAAGATATTTATTGAGATTTTCAAAATATTACAAAAAATAAAAAAATTAAAATAGAAGCAGAAAAAAGTACAAAGAATAAAAATAATTGACAAAATAGAAAAAGAAAGAAAAATAAAACCTACCCCCTCCCACCATATAAAAAAGAAAATTCCAAATGAGAAAAAATGACAGAAAAAAGGGAAAAAAAGAAGAATGCAAAAATCACAAAACTTTAAAAACATTTAAAAACAAATTCATTATTTTCAAATCCTTAACTGTCATTACCTTCTTTCTTAGACCTCCTCCTCCTCCCTTTCTTTGTATCCTAGTTATTAATTATCCCAGCAAATCCTTGACCTTATCTTTCTACAATAAAATAAACCTTAAAACTTAAAACTTAAAACTTATCCTTACCAACTTCTCATAATCATAATATTCTTTCATAATTCTTTAAACATCTTTGCTAAAGCCAAGTAATTTCATTCCAACATTTTTCTATCATTCATCAATTTTATAAAACAGTTCTAATGGTAGAAAAAAGAGGTATAAACAAATCCAATCTTCATCCAGCATCCCTTCCTCCTGGTCCGGGTTTTGTCAGTCCTTATTCCCGTCAATCTAGCCCATTAACCTGGCAACCTTATGTCCGAGGCCCTCAAGTCTCTTCCATGACCCTTCCGCGGCTCTTCTTCATATTTGTAACTGTATTTTCCCTTGTCTCCTGCTCGTGATAACTCCAGCTTGACAATGTTTTTAACCCCTCTCAACAGATCAGCCCCTTTTCCATGTTCAACAATGAATTCCATGTAGTATTTAAAAGCATGTTTCAAAGGCCCTCCAAAATTGAGAGCCCCCACAGTCTCAAACATCTCACGGCCCGTTGCCATATTTAAAAGTCCAAACATCCCAGCATAGGGGGGTCAATCCAGCCCCCCATTTCCAAACCAAACCAAACTTTTCCTTTCCAGATATGGCTTTTTCCAAGTTCATTTGTCAAATCCAAAAAATCATATTCCTGTTGGGCCTGTTCTGTCAAAACACACTCCTGATTTTATGTCAAAAACTCCTGTTCTGTCAAGACACACTCCTGATTTAAATCCTGAGTGGGTTCCACATATTTTCCCACTGTCTGTTCAAAGTTTCCCACTGCCTGTTCAAAATTTCTAGTCAAGGTCGCCATCCAATTCACCTTCTCGTGTAATTGTTCCAGTAGATCATTTGTTTTATAGAGAGCATACAACAAGGCTTCTGAATACATTGTCCTACAAGGTCAGATACTTGTTCCCACGGTTGTAATCTGTAACAGCTGTCGACTCCCTGGAGTTAGTTACAGTTTCACAGTTACAATTTCACAGACTCCCCCTAGGGGGAAGACTTCTATTTATTCTTGCAACAAAGTTTCCTTTTTTAAGATACTTTGTCCATATATAATCCTTTACAATGCGAAAGGGAACAGTGGAATCACTAGGTTTCTCTTCTTTTAGCCATCTGTCAAAAACACTTGTTTTTGGTTAATGAACTTCACACGTCAGTCCTGACAGCCCACTCCAGGATCAGGACGGAGGAAAGTTACTTCACTTTAAAGTCACTTTAAACAGTCCAAAAAGATCCCCCCCTTCTCCTGCTGTCGAAGGGGGGTTCCACAATTTCAAATGGTGAAATCCAATCTTTTAAGAGTGATTTTCTGAGCTCTAGTTTAAATTGCCTTTGCTTTATTCTGTTTACAAAAGAACGGAAGGATGACTTCCTGTTTAGACCTTCCCGTTCCGTACCAAATTCAAATAAATTTTTAAAGTCCGATTCTTTCCTACTCGCAAGTCCTTATTTGATGTCCAATTGTTCAAAGTCTAAGTACTCACGGGTACTTATTTTAAAGTCCAAATTGTCCCAGGAAAAAGGCAGCGCTCTCCGGCAACAGCTATGCGGCTTCACTCCACGGAAATAGCAGTTGACTCACAGCACCGCGCCACTTCCCCCTCTTCACTTCGGAGCCCGTTAATGGGTTCCTTAGCGGCTTGGGGGGCGCTAAAGGTGCCCGCCGAGTCCCATGGTCACAGGCTTCCTCCGCCTGTGATTTTTAAATGGGTCCCCGCTTCGCCGTAGCGGAGAAGACCCGTTTTCCGCGGAGCTAGTCCCTCCAGTTCAGAGGGAGTCCGCCATTGCCAGTAGCGCCACCCGGAAGTTCTACACTATCCCAATTTATACAAGAATGTACGGGAATAACGTATATTGCTCTCTTTTTTGCATATTTTCTCTTTTATATGTATCTTTGTTGTTTTTCTCCATCTCACTTTTCTTCTTTTTCTGTATCACTTTATTTCTTTTAACTGAAATCACCTTAATAAAATATAAATATTTAAAAAACCACTTCCCTGAAGCAAGCGTTCAACTGATAAAAGACCTTTACTTCTTAAGGTTTTGTCTTAAGGCTGTAAAAGCTTAAGATATCAAGATGAAGGCATTTTCGCACTCTTTTGAATGTGATGTATTTAGCCACATAAATTTAGCCAAATTTGCTGTATTCGAAAAGTAAATTATTTGCAAAGCATGTATTGCAGTAAAGAAGAAGTGTTAATTGTGTGCCCTTTTGTCACTATAGCAAATGAATTCCTCCAGTCTCAATGAATCATCTTCCTTTTCTTTACATTAGAAAAGGTTACAAAATAATTTGCAAATATTTTTTGAAAAGAAGCAAGCTAATCAAACTCTTAGCAATCTGCTTGGATAGTAATATATAAACACACCAAAAACGACAACAAAAAAACCCCATAGTAATATAAAAGTACTATTTCTTTTCTCCTCAAGCATCTCAAACTATACTGCAAATTCCCACGTAGCGGCAGTGAAAGCTCTTCAGTTATTGGTCAAACTGACATGATGCCATAACAGTTTCACACACATTCTGGCTGATGAGATCATGAAACTGAACAGATTGATCGAATGCTACAACTCCTGTCAGGGACTTTGAAGGTTATGTTGCAACCTTGATTATGTTCTAGTAGCTGAAGAGTCATACGGAAGTGAGCTACAGTCATA